CGGCACTCTGGACCCCGGTCTCCCACCCGTCACACTCGGACAATGAAGCCGCTACCCGCGAGATTATGTCCCGGCGTCGCTCCGCGTTACGCCGGCTAGGCCGCGAGTCTCCCGAGTACAAGACGCTCAACCGCTCGGTCCGTGCAGCTTTGCGCCGAGACCGCCGTCACGACCTCCAAAACGAGATCAGCGAGCGTGGGGTCAACAAAGTTTGGCAATGCATCAAATCAGTGATCGCTGGAAAGAAAGATGGTCCAAATATTCAGCCCGACCTATCTCCCGACGACCTGAACTCCTTCTTCGTTTCTGTCGGGCCCCGGATCGCCACCGAATTGAGCACCCAGAACATCAATACTGACCTAAACGTACGTCTCCCCCGAGTCGGCGCATGCTATTTTAAGCCGAGAGCCATCACTCTCGGGGAACTCGGACACACAGTGTTCAGCATGCGAAACTCCGCCGCGCGTGGCACCGACGCTATATGTATCCGGATGTTCAAAACTTGCTTCCAAACCATTGGCGACATTATTCTGCACATCATAAACACCTCAATCACCCGTTCCGACATACCTAACTCCTGGAAACACTCTATCGTCCAACCCATCTTCAAGTCTGGCAACCCATCTGACCCCAGCAATTTCAGACCGATCTCCCTAGTTCCCGTTATCATGAAAATCATCGAGCGTGTAATCCATCGGCAGCTCTATCACTACCTCTCCCAAAACCACCTTCTTTCGTCTACCCAACACGGATTCCGCCCTCGGCACTCCACTGAGACTGCACTGCTGTCAGTCACAGATAGCATCCTTGCCGCCACCGATAGGGGTGAGATCTCAATGCTGTGCCTCATAGATCTCAGCAAATGTTTCGACGTCATCAATCATGAACTCCTTGTCAAAAAACTTGAAATGTACGGCATTGAGACCTCCTGGTTTTCTGCTTATCTCCATGGTCACACGCAGAGCGTGTCCCTGAAAGACAAAACCGGCCGTAAGATGACCTCCCGACCGCTCCCAAACACCGTGGGCCAGGGGCGGATACAGGAAAACTCCAAGGGGAGGGTCATGAATCGAAGTGGTGCCCCTACCTATACCCAAAATTAAAAACTCAACGGATTTCGTCCACTTCATTTTGGTGGTGCCCTCATTTTAAGTTTTTTTCTTCTTTTTTTTTAGTCAGTATCTTAACTCTTAGCCACAACCACATTTACCAATTGTAAGCAAGTATATATGAATGTGCTATGTGTATATATGTTGTGGACGCTGAGTAATGAGTACTTACCAGGAACGTTATCAGGTAAGCAAATCGTTGTCAGTCCGACGAACTTGACCCTGGCGTCTAAAGGGTCTGTCCTTGACACTTCAGGCTTGTCAGGGGCACCAAAGTCCTTCCAGGGACACCACAAACCTGCCAGGGGCACCTACGGTCTTGTAGGGGCGCCACAGGCCCGCCAGGGGCACCACAGGCCTGCCAGGAAGCAGGGGCACCGCAGGTCTAGCAAGTATACACGACAGGCCTGTCTGGGACACAACGGGCCTGTTGGGCCCATGAGCACCCCTAGGGGCAGGGGCACCACAGTCCTTCCAGGGGCACCGCAGGCCTGTGAGGGGCACCAGCGGCCTAGCAGGGGCACCAGTCAACACAGGCCTGCCAGGGGCACCACAGACCTGCCAGGGGCACCAGAGGCCTGCCAGGAGCACCACCGACCTCGCAGGGGTAACTTGGGCCTGTCAAGGCCCAGGGGCACCACGGGCCTGTCGAGAGGCACTTCAGGCTTTTCAGGGGCACCATAGTCCTCTCCGGGCGCAGGGGTAGCAGGGGCACCAGAGGCCTGCCAGGGGCACTGCAGGCCTAGCAAGGGCACCACTGGTCTATCAGGGGCACCACGAGCCTGTCATAGCCAGGCATCTCAGGCTTATCAAGGCCCAGGGACACCACAGGTCTGTGAGGGGCACCAGCGACCTAGCAGGGGCACCAGTCAACACAGGTCTGCCAGGGGCGCCACAGACCTGCCAGGGGCACCACAGACCTGCCAGGGCACCAGAGGTCTGCTAGGGGCACCACCGGCCTCGAAGGGGCACCTTGGGCCTGTCAGGGGCACCACGGGCCTGCCGAGGGGCACTTCAGACTTTTCAGGGGCACCAGTCCTCTCCGGGCGTAGGGGTACCAGCGGCCTAGCAAGGGCACCAGAGGTCTGCCAGGGGCACCAGCGGCCTAGCAAGGGCACCAGAGGCCTGCCAGGGGCACCACAGGCCTAACAAGGGCACCACGGGCCTGTCAGGGGCACCTCAGGCTTGTCAGGGCCCAGGGACACCACAGTCCTTCCAAGGGCACCGCAAGCCTGTCAGGGGCACCAGAGGCCTGCCAGGGGCACCACAGGCCTAGCAAGGGCACCACTGGCCTGTCAGGGGCACCTCAGGCTTGTCAGGGCCCAGGGGCACCACAGTCCTTCCAGGGGCATTACAAGCCTGTCAGGGGCACCAGAGGCCTAGCAAGGGCACCACAGGCCTGCCATGGACACCACAGGCCTGCCAGGGGCACCACCGGCCTTGCAGGGGCGCCTCAGGCCTGTCAGGGGCACCACGTTCCTGCCGGGGACACTTCAGGCTTGTCAGGGGCGTTACAGTCCTGTCAGGGCCCAGGGGCACCAGGCCCGTGGTGTCCCTGCTAGGCCTGTGGTGCCCCTGGCGGTCCTGTGGTGCCCCTGTCAGGACTGTGATACCCCTGATAGGCCGGTGGTGCCCCTGGCAGGTCTTTGGGCCCCCGGGCCTCAAGGGGGGGGCCATGACCCATGTGACCCCCCCCTTGGATCCGCCCCTGCCGTGGGCGTTTTCCAGGGATCGGCGCTGGGTCCCCTTCTTTTCACAATATTCTCGAATGACCTTTCCCTATTTGCTGGAGATGCCACCGCCTATCAGTACGCCGACGACACCCAGATATTGGTGAGCGGCCCACGCGACGACATTAGGAGCCTCATCTCGCGCATGGAGGCATCACTCGCGTCACTTAACGCCTGGTTCGGCGCACACGCCCTGAAAGTCAACGCTTCTAAAACTCAACTCATGGTATTCGGTAGTCGACAAAATCTACGTAAACTGCCTCGCTTCAAAATCTCATTCCGTGACGCTGAGCTCCAGCCGTGTACTCAGGTGGGAAACCTGGGTGTTGTATTCGACGGCGCACTCACCTGGGAGGCACACGTAGCCGAGCTGAGCCGTCGTTGCATGGGCGTACTGATCGGCCTCTCCCACGCACGACACTGTCTCCCAGACGGCATCCTCAAAACGATCGTGACGGCACTTGTCATCTCGCGCGTCCAGTACTGCCTCACTGTCTACGGAAATGGCTCCCGGAAAAACTTTGACCGGCTCCAAAAAATTATGAACTTCGCAGCACGGGTCATCTTCGGCCGCCGTAAATTCGACCACGTCTCTGGCCTCCGCGACTCGCTTGGATGGATACCTCCGAAAGCTATGGCCGATATTCAAACCCTCGTAACTGCTCAGAAAATAATAAGGAACGGCGAGCCCGAAGAACTAGCTACTATGTTCACTTATAACAGTGACGCGCGAAAGAGGTCCACCCGGCAAGACCACCTTCTCCACCTCCCACGCTCGCGGCTCGAGATAGGCAAGCGACGGTTCGGCTACCGGGCCGCGGCGCTACTCAACAGTCTGCCTCCCGGTGTCATCGAACAGCGCCCCGCCCAATTCGCCCGTGCGGCCAAGGCTGCAGTCTGTCCGGCGTTCGCGACCGCCCGACGCTGACTCATGTCAGGGGGAGGGGGTACCCGCAGCCGTGTGTGGCGCGCTGACTTGAATTGTCCGTATGTATATAGAGAGTGAGTGTCCAGTGATTAAATCGTTATGCCTGTGTTCTACTGCCCCTGCATGTTTTTGTTCCAACCCGTCTCAGACTCTGGACTGTAATCGCCACGCCCCGTGTGGATTGTCCATGATTGTAATACATACATACATACATGAAGCTGCTCGTGCTGGTTGGTCTGCTGGCCGCGCTGCTGGCCTGCGCAGAGGGCTCCGGAGGCATTCCGCAGTGTCCCTACACCACGCCCGACCCGTACTGCCCGTACAGCTCGCAGGACGAGTGCGGAGTGCCCTACAAGCAGTGTCCTCCGTACCAGGAGTGCTGCCGCGGCAAGTGCAACAACGAGTGCCGGACCGTCACTCACTGGAGTAGTGGTAGTGGAAAATGAGAGGCCCATCGCCGAGACCCGATAGGGCGCCTGCCGATGATGACGCCTGCCGATAACGCTTGATGACGACAGCCGATGACGTCTTCTGATGAGTGATGACGGTGCCGGCCTCTGCCATAGTTACCGCGCACCAATATTGTAATTCAACGGCCACTCGTACCTTACATGAGTTGATTTCGAAATACATTTTATCCTGCGTAATCAACGTGTTGCGTTGGTGGGAGCTGACGGTTAACTCTGCAAGTGATGTCTACATGCACTACATCACGAAAATTTTAGTATATCCCTAACTGCTTGCTATTCAAAAGCACTGGTGGACTCAGAAAGGTTGAATAGCCCTATACGAAAAAATCGTGGAAACTCGCCACATCTGCGGTAATCCTTGCAGAACGTGCCGGTCGCTACTTTTGTATTTTATGTAATGGCTATGAAGGCAACTAGTGTACTCCGATAAGCAAAAGAAATTGACCTTTTCCTCGACATGAAAATGCAAAAAGCCGAATAATGTATTTAAAAAAAAAAAAAAACGGTGAGCTTCCGGCCACTAGCCTTTATCAAACCAACGTTACAGCAGACATGGTCCGTTTGCTACGCGCGTTACAGCAAACCAACCAGCAAGCCTTTCCCCGCGTTCGATGTCTCACGGACGACGAAGATTCTACGCCGTCCGGCCAATCCCGTTCAAGGTCAGCGGGGGCTCGGCTGCGGTTATGGAGCGTGATTGGCCGGACGGCATAGAATCTTCGTCGTCCGCGAGACATCGAACGCGGGGTTTATCAAACGAACGTTACGCGGGTTGCTGTACCGTTGGTTTGATGACGCCGCCCCTGCTGCGCTCCGAGCCGTGCCCTGAGGCTGTGTCGGGTCGGGCGGCCGGCAGTGGCCGCTGGAGAGGCGAGGGGAGCGGGTGTTTGGTGGCCGGGCCGGGTGGTGGGTGGCTGGGACAGTGGAGTCGGAGCGTGTGCTGGTCGGTGACGCTGGTGGATAACGGGAGACGGTGAGGGACGCTGGTGGATAACGGGAGACGGTGATGGACGCTGGTGGATAACGGGAGACGGTGAGGGACGCTGGTGGATAACGGGAGATGGTGAGGGACGCTGGTGGATAACGGGAGACGGTGAGGGACGCTGGTGGATAACGGAAGACGGTGAGGGACGCTGGTGGATAACGGGAGACAGTGAGGGACGCTGGTGAATAACGGGAGACAGTGAGGGACGCTGGTGGATAACGGGAGACTGTGAGGGACGCTGGTGGATTACCCCTCGCCCGCACATGGGGGGGGGGGGGGTTGCCACCCCCCCCCCCCCAGGTAGTCTTTCTGCTCTGCACTCAACATTTTTAGAGCTAGAAGGCTGAATTTTCGTATAGCTGCTCGCCTATCCTTTCTTGATGTCCACTGAAAATTTCAAGTTTCTGTGATTTTTGATTTCGGAGATATGACATTGTTTTTCAGGTCATGTCATGACCCAAATGGCCAATTCTCAACATCTTGCGTTTGCCATGGGCCTTGTGAGCTTTTGACACCCTGATTTCGGCCTTTTTTGCCAGTCTTACCTCCCACCTATCATGGAACATGTTGTTCGACGACGTACAGGGGTCAAGGTCAGGGTCAAGGTCAACCTAGGTCATCTAAGATAATTGCGTTTTAGGCAAGCTGAATTTACTTTTTGTGATTTTTTTTTCTTTTGACAGCATTTTTGGTAAAAGCTTCTCAGATCATGATTTCATGTAATATGGACCCAAAAACAATCGGTGCACACATCAGTATACACACAGACACACACAGACATATAAACACATATAATTGACCTTGACCTAACTTGACCTGAAATGACCTCAGCAGCAAAATTCTGGTCGGTTAGTGTGACAAAGAGGTTCTAGCTGGCTTGGCACCAGAAAACAGCATCGTCATCGGTATTTGATAAGCAGCGCACTTGATATCCAACGGTGACCCAAAACAGCAACATTTTTTAGTTTGACCTGACCTGGAAGGTCAATGACTGACCTGAGGAGGTAAAACTGGGTATCATTGGATTCGTCTCTTCCCAAAGAATCTTTTTGGTCTTTACCGCTAAGCTCTATCTCCAACAGGAACGAAATTTCGCGGGGGGTGGCAACCACCCCCCCCCCCCCATGTGCGTTCTAGGATGGGAAAATGGCATGTGCGGGCGAGGGTTACGGAGATAGAATATGCAGCATAGGTTTTATGATTTACGCTTTATGCACTTTAGAGGCGTCTTATGAGGAACTCTGTTCGCGAATACGGTATGCGTATAGTACTATAGAACTGGGAAATAATGCCGGTATAGTTAACGTTCATGTCCAATTGTGTCCAGTCTTGCTCCTGTGGTGTTTGTTGCGGCGTTCTCGTTGCTCGTGTCATGTTCAGTTACTGATGATCGTGCCCGATTCTTCCAGGACTTCACTGGCGTCGGCCCAGCGGCGTTGGACGGGGAGCCGCCATCGTCACCGTCCTGACTGAACCAGAACAACAGCGGCGGACCGAGACAGCAGAGCGGCACCGACCGGCCACTTCGGAACGGGCGGTGAGAGGGATAGCAAAACAAAATTTTGCATGTGTAGTATTTTCTTCTTATAACTATTGTTCCATGATAAAAACAGAGGAGTCCGCAGGTCATGAATTTCAATAGAAACGGTAACCTTCGCCCCAGTGGGGGGGGGGGGGGCATATGTTACCACCCTGTCGCGTTTTTTTGCGCGTAAATAAAAACCGCGGCGCGTAGCGCCGCGCCGCTTGGGGTAGCTTTTGGTACATCAATTTTGGACAGTGTGTGAAATTTTTTACCCCAGGTCATGTCAGGTCAGGTCACCAGGTCAAGTTAACTGACCAAGCAAAAAAAAAAGTTTGCAATCATGTCCAGCCTGCAGTGTTTGTCGGAAAGGTTTCAAACTTGGTGGATTGCATGATGTTATGGGCGCCTACAATTTGTATATCTCGGATTTTTTTATATCCGTGACCTAAGGTCAGGTCAGTGGCGTGACCTTTCCATTACAGGTCAATGGAGAAAAATGAAAATGCCTCTAGATCCGTGTGTACGCATAGGAACAGTCCAAATATTTCAGAATCACAATGATTTGGACCATCCGTGATGACCAAGGTGTCATTTTCGCTGATAGCCTCTAGAAAGGTCATCCGAGGTCATTTGAGGCTACAAACAGATTTTTGCCAATTAACTCGAGATTGGAAAGAGATAGAACGCTGGGGATGGTCTCTTTGTGTTTGTCTTGCCGAGACGCATCGACTGATATGCAACATGACCTTTTCCGGTCAGGTCATGACCTTGACCTCAGGTCAAATTTTCAAGTTGACCTCTCAAGGTCAAATTATAGTTCATTCGACGCGTCTCGGCGAGAGGAACACGATTCTGGCAATAGAAATGTCGTGGCTTTTTTTGAAGTCAAAAGCTATTGTCGAAAAACACTTTTCGTAAAAACAGCTATTTTTGGAGTTTTTGCCCTCTGGAGGCTAAACCGTTGACCTGAGGTCAATTTTGATAATAACCTTATCAAAAGAAGAGTTCAAAAGCTATCGGTTGCTTTTCCATGCGTTTTTCTAGCTACCATAGTTCCTGAGATAACGGCATGTTTTCTGAAAAAATATAATGACCATTGGCAAATTTTGACCTTTGATGACCTCTGGTGACCCCAATATTGCTCTAAGATGAAAAATGACCGAAATACCTTCAAACGTACGGATTGAGAGCTATCGACTGCTTTTACCGCGTCTTTCTATCCCTCTTAGTTTTTGAGTTAGAGGTGGGTGGTAACATATGCCCCCCCTCCCCACTAGGGCGAAGTTGGCTGAGACCGCCACTGGGGCGCGGGTAACGTAAACCGTTTGAATTTTGATCATAATGTTATTAGAATAAGTCAGATTGTGTGCTCTTTAAAGCACTTCATAAATTATCAAATTGCAAGTTGAAATGCAATTTAATAAAATTTGACATCGGCTATAATGGAAATCATTTCCATTTTATATCCGCTCGCCGTCATCTTTCCCTCTTTTCTCCAACAGTGTCCGTGTGATTCAGACTCGGTGAACCACCGTCCGCTGTCTGCCCGGTCTCCGACACACCGGGCCATCGGACTACAGAACTACCAAATATCGGACTACAGTACTACCGGCCCGCAGACTACAGAACTACAAAAAAAAAATCGGACTATAGAACTACCGGCCCTCAGGCTACAGAACTACCAGTCTTCGGCAGTAGATGACAGACACGAGAATGGGCAATCAACGAGCTCCTTGGAACGCAATGATATCTTAACGTAAGTTCGTATTTTCAAAAAATGTTTCGACTGCTAAGTGTCTCTTACCACAGGATCAGGGCCACCCATAAAACGTTGGTATATTATGGTTCGTGGCCATCCCTATGGCAGTACTTCATGCATACCTATTGCAGTTTTGTGACCGCCTATCGACTACCGTAAACCGGGGTGAGTTGATATGGATTTTGAGGTTATTCTAGATTTCGTTAAAAGCCACATTCATTTACGGAATTCTTTTTGTGCCAGTTTCATGGCACATGCCTTGGGGAGGCAATCAGCAAAAATGAATAAAAAATGTATATATTAAGCCCCTTTTTTAAAACGCCAAAGTTCATATCAACTCACCACCCCACAGGGGGTGAGTTGATATGATTTTGGATTTTTCAAAATTTCTCGGCTAAAGAAGCTCAGAGGTGAGTTGATAAAATGCCAGTGTTTAAAAAAAGGATGAGAGAACACATCCTGAAAGAAACCATTAGAAAAATGCTAGTAGTTTGGCAGCAGACCTCACATTCATGAAAACGCAATCATGTCCAACACAGCGCGATCAAAATGGCTTGATTTTAGCAGCATCATTTTTTCGCTTTATGATACTTAGTTTTACTTAGAACATTCTGAACTTGGCTAGTCACGTGTCCTCAAGCCAACGGTATCAAAACTGGCAATATATTTTGGAATTACAAGTGTATTTTCTTGTAATTAAAACACATTGTCAGTTGCGGGTCAAGGTTGATATGCCTCTGACAGAAATAATGGATTGAAATGAAAGAATACATATACTTCTGAGCTTTTGTTGACTGGTAGTCAACAAAATATTAATGAAGTGAAGTGAAGCGAATCTAATTCGGACTGTATTCTAAGCGACATAAAACAGAATTCGGCATCAAAAGCCAAAATTAACCCTCGCACTTATAGGCGGGCGAACGGACCACCTCGGCTTTTCGCACATAACTCGCGCAAAAAGCGGCCGATCACGACGAAACTTTCAGTACCTCTCGAGTTTATCAATTTTACACATGTTCTAAAGATTTCATGACTCTGACTCAAATGGTTTTTGACTTGTGACCTGATTCTCGAGACCATGCTTGGCCGGAATCGCGATTTGGCGTAGTCGGCTCACATTATCCGCGCATTTCCAGTCTTTTTGTGATTGTAACGTCCAAACATGTAAATGATGTTGGTCCCACGCAGTATTTTGGGTGTCAACTGTCAAGGTCACCTGAAGGTCAGGTCAGGTCATTGACCTTTGGTGACCTCGGTTCACTTTTTGGAGTTTTACATGTTTCTAGGGTAGTTTTTTCGGGCCGATTTCGAATTTAACATGCATTTGATCATTTATGAAGTAGTTTTAGTGCCTTCGTAACATGTTACGACACCGTCAGTGGTAGCTGACACTTGACACTCCCTATGGATAGCCGGCAGGACACCTACTGGTTGAGCTGACCTGACCTGACCTGGCCTAAATGTACGAAGACATCTGTGAGCAAAACTAACATGACATTCGCGATCAGCAACAGCCAAAAAATAATAAACTCGCTTTACGAACTTCAAATAACCCCCTATTTTCCCGACTTCTGGGTAATTGACCTGGCCTGGAAGGTTAACCAATGACCAAGTTGGTTATCATCGGCTTCCTCGCGTCTCGGGCAACACGCTCATTTTTTCCGCGAAGCTCTAGCTCCACCAGGGGCCAAACGACGATGGGATTCCAACGACCCCCCCCATACGTTAAACGCTGGCAAAACACGAATACGGGCGAGGGCTAAACACCAGTCAATTTCTTTATATTGTTTGTTCCATTTCATTTTGCCTCTCATTCTCGGTTGGCAACTGCCAAGCAGGAAAACTAATCAGTTTCACGAGATCAGAATTCCCGCGCTGTTAGCCATACAGAAATGACAGTTCTGTCATTTTCGAAACTACGAATAAATATAACAGTTTTTTTAATCTGTATGTAATATAGGTGTTCTATAGTGTTCCTTTGTAGCTTGTAGGGAGCCATCTTGAGACTTGACAGGGAGCTGTGCTGTGCCTTTTTTCATGTTAGGTATGTCCACAGAAAAAAAAAACTTTGGGGTTACTGATGTTAGTTGTCGGACCTTCGTCCCCGTCTTGAGTTGAGATTCAGTTTCATAACGTTTCGGCCAGTTACTCTCCGGCCGTCGTCACTCGTCAGGTGTTCTTTGACCCTCAAGGACCTGGATGTTGGTGGCGTTGCGCCGTACGCGTCAAACAGTTCGAAAGCTCCTGTAGTCAGCGGGAATCGAACTCGGGTTTCCCCGGTGATGGTCCACGGTTGTAACCACTCCACTATCGAGGCAGGCTTGACTACGGCCGGAGAAGCTACTGGCTGAAACGTTGTGAAACTAACATCTCAACTCAAGACGGGGACGAAAGTCCGACAACTAACATCAGTGATACTAACAGGCCTCGTCTCAAGCATTCAGAAAAAAACTAAAGCTTTTGGGGTTGATGGAATGATGTGGGGAAAGAAAAGGAGAAGAGTTGGTCTAATTGACTTTGTCTTACCTGCAGACCCATATTTCATGCTAATTTGCATGCCTACCAGCCTGGTATCAGCTTTTATCATGCATATCAACTCACCACCTGATGGCATATCAACTCACCACCTGTCACTTTTCTTAAAATTATAAAAAAGCGTTGTTATAGGTGAAACCCAAAACTACCTGGGATCAACAGTAAATTGATGGTAGTTTCTTTCCCAGTGCATGTTGTTTCATGAATATCCACCGTCTTTGCTGTAGGGTGGGGACTTTTCCTTAGTTTCAAAATCAGAAGAAAAAAAGGACTTTGAAAAAAGTAATGTGTTAAGAAGGCACTGCACCACATGCATGCCTTTCTCAGCTATATGCATCACTTATTGGTTGCTTCACTTCACAGAAAAATAAAACTAAAAATTGGTTTACAAATGGATGAGCAGCACACATTTTAACATTTTTCGAGCAATTTATATCAACTCACCACCCCATATCAACTCACCCCGGTTTACGGTATCGTTGCATTTATGACCGTCTGTTGGTCGTGGCATACATGCCGTAACCGTCTTCATCACGTGGTGTGTGTGGCTGTCTATATTTGACGTGTTGTATGTAACCGTCTATAAATCGTGCTATATGCTACCGTCCTACTTGGTATATATTAGCCGTTTTCACGACGGCCATCTGGTACACATTTGGTGCACATCTGGTACAGATTAGGTGCAGATTTGGTCAAATCAGGTTCAGCGTGTCTCTTAGCAGCTATCAGCTAGGGTTGCACTAATTGCTTATATGCCTGCTTTGTCATATTATCAGAGAGCATCATCGATTAAAACACTGAAATAAATTCATAAAATGAAGATATTTGCTGTAAAAGAAATTAGGTGTAGATTTGGTCAAATCAGGTGCATTCGCCGGATAGCCCGTAGCGAAAAAAGCTATCATCGTCATATTTGCCGCAATATGTGAGACAGTCTTTTTGTTGTGGTATACTGTGCCCGTCTACTTGACGTGATAAATGTAACATTATATTTATCGTGCTACGTGTGACCGTCTATGTGTGGAAAACCGAGCCACCTCTCACACGCTGTATTCCTTACGTCATCGTGTCGCGGCGCCAACTGCCGCCGCGCGCCCGAGCCCGGCCGGCGGTCCACAGTGCACACACAGCTGTGCGCCATAAAACTAGCGCCGCAGGCGCAGGAAATGCGGCCCGCCGGTCCCACGGTCTCGGCGCGCCCACACAAACACGGTCATAAGCACACACGCACAATACACACACACAAGGTACGCTACATTCTACTAATTCATAACACAATTCTATTACACTCCCCCCTGATTTATAAATCACCATACTGCGTCAGTGTAGCGGGACGCCGCTCCCGCGTGCTCCTGCGAGCAGCTGCCGACTCCTCGCCATCGTGCGAGGCCCCCTCCGACTCGCCTCGAGCCGCAGCGTCGGGAGCGACACGCTGCTCATAAAAGATAATTGGGGCGCCCTCGTCGTCACTCTCACTGATCGGCGGACTCCTGCCCTCGGCCGGCTGTGGGAGAACGGCCAGCCTCAGGTCCCGCACATGGCGCGGCACTCCATCAACCTCAACACACTGTACAGACACAATACGGCTCACCGTCCCAAGTGAACTGGCCACGTCACAGCGGCGGCTCGGGTCCCTGACCCAAACCTTGTCCCCGACCGTAAAGCGGCTGATATCGGCATCAGCTGGCGTGTCTACATCTGGGACTTTCACTCGGTAATTAAACAGCGTTTCCATGGGGCTGGAGCTCTGATCCTCCGCGCGTGGCATCACGTTATAGCGATACACCGCCTCCACCACCGAACACTTCTTTCTGGCCGCTAACGTTTTGATGGAGCGGTGGTTGCGCTCCGAGATGCCGTTACCGGACGGGACATGAGCTGCTCGGTATCGAACGGAGACTCCCCACCGACTGACGAACTCATTGAACACGGCACTTCGAAACGATGGATAGTTATCCGTCAGCAGCTCAGTGGGAGCGCCTCGCTCCAGGAAGATTGACTCGAGCTGCGCGATGACACTCTCAGCGTCCTGTCGCTTTAGGCGCCTCCAGATCGCGTAGCGAGACGGCCCACAATCCACTAGGGTCAGGTAGAGTTGATTGTCGGCGTGGCAGACGTCCATGCTCACTCTTTCCCAGCACTCGTTCACCCCTAGCGTGCCGCGCACCCAGCGCTGCGGCGCAGGGTCGACCGATTGGCACGCCTGACACTGGCGGATCACGGCACGCACCTGAGCTCTGGTGACGTCAGAGCTCTGCCTCCTGCATAGTCTCAGGGTTCGTGTGATGCCAGGATGGCCGCTGGTGTGGTGAATCCGTGCGATGTCGGGCTCTGTGACGACGGCACTGCACACCATCGACGCGCCCTGCGGGGTCAGCCACTTTTTTGGCACTCTCGTGAGCGCGTCGGCCCGGTTCTCAGCCGATGGGACGAATTTCACGCAGAGTTGCATGGCATATTCTTCACCCAGCTTCTTCACTGTCTCAAGACGCCTCCGAATTAGCATCTCGCTCGCTGCCTTGGTTTTTACACGGGCTCTGCCAGACAGGACGTCGGACAGCCAGTGATAGACGGTTCGCGAGTCGGTCATGATCGTCACATTCTTCAAATTCCAGGACAGTGCCAGATTGAGCCCTCGAATCACAGCATCTAGCTCTGCGAGATTGATGTGGGTGTCCGAGCTCTTCCGCAGCCAGCAGGCGTCTTCAACGACGCAGTCGTTGATCTCCAGCACGGCCCCGATGGCGAGGGAGCTGGCATCGACCCACACCACACCTCCGCCGTCTCCAGAGACATCCCACCGGCCCCGCACGGGGTCAGATGTGTTCACACGCTCCACCATCTCAATGACCATTGCACAGAGCTCCGGGTCAGTGACCTCGTCATCCCATCCACTGGACACAGCGGTGACACGCCTCTTCAGATATGACGCGGCCACGCGGAGCCAGCCGGCCACAGGAACAAGACTGGTGAGTCGTCCGCACAGAGAGAAGACTGCCCGTCTCGTCAGTTTAGGGGGCGGGCTGATGTCGGTTCTGTCACGCCTCCAGAACAGCCCGTCTCGCTCCCCCCAGACCCTTAGGCCAAGCACACGGGCACCATCGATCACACTTTCTGGCGCTTTGCAGTCCAAGCCATGGTTCTCTAGATGGGCCTTCACTTCAGCTGCGGTGGCGACCTCCTCATTCACAAATATGTCATCGACGTAGGAGGATGTCGCGCTGTCTATTCTCTGGTCCAGCCCGAGAGCCATGCTGAGCACTTTTTTCATCACCAGCGGCGCACAGCCGATTCCAAACCCTAGTCTCGTCAGACACCACCTTTTGCCCTGAAACACAACAGTCTGGTAGGGCCACAGAGACTCGCTCACATGCACCTGCAGGTAGGCGTCTTTGAGATCCAGAAGCGACACGTTCCGTCCGAACCGGCGCCACTCGCGAATTTTCTCGCTACACACGTCTGCGGCAGCCGTATGCGAGTCCAAATACTCATTCAGCTCTCTGAAGTCCATGACCGGGCGCACTTTGTCTTTGTTCGGCTGAATCACCGCCATCAGCGGTATTGTGCCCTTTGCCTGTCCGTGGACACGCTCGTCATAGGGAACAAGCCATCCGTTTGTCACCCACTTTGTGAGCTGTCGCTCATACTCCTGCCTGGCCTCTGATGGTATTGAGTACTCCTCCGCTTTGTTGAACAACTGTCCTGGCTCATCCCCACACCATTTCAATTGCACAGACCACTTTTTCTGGCTCTCATCGTAGCTCACAATAAAGTCCTTCTCCTCCTCGCGCCATATACCCGCCGCCGCCTCCGGCGCCGCCATTGCCCGCGTCTCGGTCACTGTCAGGGCCCCAATTGCCGCTGACCCAGATTCCGCCGCCTCGGTGGGTGCAGTCGACTCGGCCAGTGCCGCCGTCTCAGCTGCCACGGGCGCCGCCTCAGGCACCCGTCTCTCAGCCACCGCCGCCGTCCCAGCTGCCGCCGGCGCCGTATCGGGCGCCCGTCTCTCGGCCACCGCCGCCGTCCCTGCTGCCGCCGGCGCCGTCTCGGGCGCCCGTCTCTCGGCCACCGCCGCCGTCCCTGCTGCCGCCGGCGCCGTCTCGGGCGCCCGTCTCTCGGCCACCGCCGCCGACCCTGCTGCCGCCGGCGCCGTCTCGGGCACCCGTCTCTCGGCCACCGCCGCCACCCCGGTCGTTTCAGCTCCGAACCTCACATGGTTCTCCGCACTCACCGTCACGCCACCCAGTGCACTCACGCCGTTCATCCCCAGGATAAACTCAAAGCCCAGCGGCTTCCGTGACACCACAAGCACGCGCACTGATACCGATTCGCCAGATTGCGATCGCACCTCCACGACACCCGTTCCCTCGCACCAGTATCGGTCACCGCTCACCGTCATCACGCTCACTGCGTCTCGATTCCAATTTCGACACACCGACACGTGCGCTACACACAAGCTGCATCCCGTGTCCAGCAGGGCGTCACAGGTGGCGCCGTCCACCGATACTCGCACAACGGGCAGCGCCCCGCTCACTGGAGACCGGGAGAGGAGGCTGGCGCCGAGCCCTCCTCTCCGCCGTCGTTTTCCGGACAGGACGAGGCGATATGACCGGGCCGGTTGCAGCGGAAGCAGCGCACACTGCGCCGACCGCCGCGGGCCCCGCCGCGCTCCCGCTGACCGCGAGCAGCGAGACAATCCCGCGACAGGTGGTTGGGCTGTCCGCATGAGTGACAGGTCACGCGGGGTGGCGCCGCCGACGTCCGCGCTGCTGCTCCCGTCGCTCCTGCCATGGCAGTCTCTTCTTCATCGGCGAGCACAGCTCGGGCCCGGCTGATTAGCTCGCTCAGCGTCATGCTTTCGACGCGGCTTCCTGCACGAAGCACACGGCGGGTGGTCTCCGGCAGTTTTGCCACGAACGCGCAGGCTAGGCCGCCGTCTGACATACCGCCAAACAGGCCGGACAGGCGACGCAGCTCTGCAACGAAGACATCCACCGGCTCACCTCGACGGAGCTTCATCTTCTCAAACCGGTCATAGGCGTCAAACTTATCCTCTGCGAAAGCCGAAATCAGGCCATTTTTGATGGTCTCGTAGCCAGCCTTGTCCTGCTCGTCCAGCTGCTGATAGACAGCGAACGCCCCGCCAGTTAGGCGGAGGGGAACGACGACGTGCAGCGCGTCGATGCCACGTAGACGGCACACCAGCTCCACCTTCTCCAGCCACTCTGTGACAGGCTGAGTCGCTCCGTCGAACTCAGGTATGAGTCGGAGATCGGCTGCAGCGTCCGCCGTACTCGCCGGCTTCACTCCACTCTCAGGCGCACTTTTCTCGTCCTTCATGGCTCTTACTCTCTGTCTCTCACACAAAGCCGAAATAGCTTGTGGAAAACCGAGCCACCTCTCACACGCTGTATTCCTTACGTCATCGTGTCGCGGCGCCAACTGCCGCCGCGCGCCCGAGCCCGGCCGGCGGTCCACAGTGCACACACAGCTGTGCGCCATAAAACTAGCGCCGCAGGCGCAGGAAATGCGGCCCGCCGGTCCCACGGTCTCGGCGCGCCCACACAAACACGGTCATAAGCACACACGCACAATACACACACACAAGGTACGCTACATTCTACTAATTCATAACACAATTCTATTACACTATGTTTCGTGTTATAGGTGGCCGTCTATTTGACGTGGTACATACGAGTATGACCGTCTATTTATCACGATTTACATGTAACCGTCTATTCAGGTTCAACCCCCCCCCCCCCCCGCCTGCTAATCTCAAGGTAGAAGGTGCTTTTGTGTCGGTAATTCTCTCTCTTTTCCCTCTCCCTCCAAGCCTCCCTCCCTCTTCCCCACCACATCACTCTCAATTTGACTTTGCATCTCATCTCATCAGGTTCATCTGACTGGAGACCGTCTCTCCGGCCCGCTACAGAGAGCGATCCCCATCAGTTAGCACCAGTCTGACCACTGGAGGAGCTCCTGTCCTGCTGGCACCGCCGGCGGTCGCCGTGCTGCCAGCGCTGATCGTTACGTGAGTATATCTTGTCGGCTTTGCCGACCGATCGGTAGTCTTATATCTCACTAATCAATTCTACTGGGGATGCTAAAAGTGTTAAATGATCGCCGTGTATGTTGTGTTAGATTAATATGCGCGTATAGTTACCGTTGTTGGCGAATGGTGGCCTTCTGCTGGCTACGCACCATTGTTTGTGCTCAGAACATCTTAGCTGCTATTTTTTATTATCTTCTTCCTTTTCTAGTTGGTCGTCTTTCACTTTTAGCTATATAGTGTTACATCGTTAGTTGTTGATCGTCGCTACTCGCTGATCTACTACTTGTCTCACTGTCTCTCATCAATAATTGTGCACTGCATCGACTTTTCCCATCAGCTTCTTCCTATTTTCCGTCCTTTTCAGTACCTTTTTTTGCTTTTCATGATGATCACTAGAGTTGTGCCGACAAACTCAACAAAGTGATCATACCAATCATGCAAACGTTTTGTTCGCATTGGGACGGCCTGAAGCCCCTGGTATAAATTCCTTGAGACGTTTCTGATCTTTTAACTGCAGACATTGAACATTTTTATGTCCCTACTTCGTGCAATTCATTCTAAATGTTCTCTACCCTCTCCCTCCAGTCGATCTGCTGTGTAGTGTGTACCGCCCAAAATACTTTTCTGACGACCGCCGTTCCCTCTGTTTGCCGTCAGGTGCTGGTGGCGCGCCTTCTGGTCCAGTCCGGCGTGCGGATCGACCTACTGAACAAGACGGAGCGCCCGCCACTGCAGATGGCGCCACCGGGGCTGGCGAGCGACCTCCAGCAGCTGGCGTCGCCCCGTTGGAGTTCACCGCTGCCACAGATGGCAGCACCGTCGCCCACAAGGCTCGAGTGTCCGTCAGTGCGCGTGTTTCGAACCGACGGACCTCTGTTCCGTGCTTCTGATCCAGAACAGTGTCGTTCTGGGCCAGTCAGCGTTTTTAACTATGACTTGACTTGCGTATAATTTGATGCTGTGATGCTACCAAAAGACTTACCGTCGCGGATTCGTCGCCAAAAGGTTCCCAATAACGATCGACTAGCGATCCTTGTGGCGTAGGTCGCCTATTCTCAATCAGTGAACGTCTTTTCTGTACCGCTCACTCATCGAGTATGTATGTAGTCGTATATCTTTTCTGTGTTGCGTTCGCTGCATAGCTGCACTTCTTCGACTGTTTGTGCTGTGTCTTTCATTGGCTGCTGGTCGTGTCGATGACTTACGTCGCCCTGTGGCTCATCTCAAGCTGGTGTGGCGTTTGTACCGCTACCTGTCAATGTCGGATGTGGACATCGCCGGTGCCATGTCGTTGCTGTCACCACCATATCGTCCTTTGCGCCAACGTTGAGTCATTCGCTTCCTGTTGATGTGACGCGCGTCGTTGTTCGTTGTTTGGCATTCGATCACTAGTAGAGTTACGATGTAGAGTGAGGTTCTTTGTGACTTGGACCACTGTGCTCCTGATGTTTTCCGTGTGCGTATGCCGCCAGTCAATGTAAGCGTTGCTAACTGATAGTAAGACAACGTCGTGAGGTTTATCGCCTTTATCTACATTGATGACCTGATGTTGGTACCTCGGCCGTTCTCCTGGACCTGTGAGGCGTGAGCTAGCAGCTGACACAAAGATTGTTGAATGTTGGGCAAATAAAGATAGAAAAACCATGGAATGTGTGGTATGATGTGGTCCGAACACGATGCGAGGGGAAAAAGTCGTGTGACGGTCAATGGCGACGCAAGAATGGATCTTGTGTGGCTGAACAAGTGTCTCGACTTGCAAAAGGGGAGAAAAATGGGGTTGCTCGAAGGAATCACACTAAATCTGCCATTACCTGCGGCCGGAGTAAGTATCCGTTCTTGAAATCGAGCCCGGTCGGTCGGTCGGTAAGGCATTCGCCACGATAGAAAGTGGGCGGAGCCTAAATGGCCCTAAAACTGAGATCGGTATAATCCACTTTCAGGTGCCCCAACGGGTTTACCCTGGTGGCCGAGTGGATAGCGTGACGTCAGCGTGCATTTTAGACTTTCGAAGGTTTTGGGTTCGAGACCCGGAATCGCCTGATTACGATAAATTTTTCCGCTCTTAACGGGCCTCGAACCCAAAACCTTCGAAAGTCTAAAATGCACGCTGACGTCACGCTATCCACTCGGCTACCAGGGTAAACCCGGTGGGGCACCTGGAAGCGCCTTATGCCGATCTCAGTTTAGGCCCATTTAGGCCCCGCCCACTTCTCTCTATCGTCAGCCCAGCCCGTGTGACGTCACGTCCACTACTGCCGTCGACTGTTTGGCTCTGTACGCGGGTCTCTCAGTCTCCCGAACCGTCCGACTATCAGTGAAAGGAGTTCCCACGCGACTTCCAGGACACGGCTACTGTCTAGCACTCAAAGACACGTCGTTGGAGCCGTACTTCGGATTTTATTGAGACCTTTACAAAATTATGAATATACAATAAACACAGTAATTGTTCTTCATAAGAGGGCGGGGCATCTTCAGATGAAAGTCGACCAGCTATGAAGCTGGGGGGGGGGATGATCTGCCTCGGGCCGGGTCCGATTGATGAGTGCTGCCCCGCCGGGTGGTGGACGGGGCGGCGCCGGCGGCAGTCGGCCCCTGGCAGCTAGACCGGCCCGCCGAGCCGATTAACCCCGGTGATGATCTCTGATGGCCGCGGGCGGTGACGGCCGCCAATCTGGACCGTCTGGAAGCGAATGGAGATCAGTGAGGGGTGGGCACGCTAGGGGGCGGGGGTGGGGGAAGGACAAGAGAGGGAGGGAGGGTACCACGGACTG